CCCTTCGCCCACACATTTTGGAAAGCTATAATACACATGTATATGTATATATATATACATGTATATTTATGTACCTATCCACACACATCTACATGAACACAAGCAAAGAAATCATAATGGCTTGCCCCGTTTTCCCGAGAGGTGGCCTGCGACAGCTCCAGGCCTTCCCGGCGCGGGGCGCCCACGTGGTGCTGCGGGACTCCGAGGGCGCCCAGAAGGCGAACGTCGAGTCTTTGAGTCTTTTCCAGTGGGTCGAATGGAGAAATCGACACCAAAAACCCCTGGGTTGGTGTTGAAAAAAAGGGGTGTCGATTTGTCCAGGGGCAATGGTCATTTTTTGGTCTTGGTGTTGCAAAAAAGAAGGGGCACTGGTTTTCCTGGCAGTTTTCATTTAATCCCGGGCCATCTGTTTTCCGAAAAAGGATGCCTATGGACCTATGCCCCTGGTGCACTACTGAAGAGCTTGTCATTTCGTATTCCGGCCATCCGACCACACGTGCAATTGACTGATATCTTGAACCTTGAATCAACTTTGGATAGTGACATGTGGTACCCTCCTGTCCGCGTGCCCATGCAACCCAGCAGCAACATCGTCCCGTCTAAAAGAAAACGTGTAGGTACCCTAGAGGTGATACTGTGGATGGTTGCGCATTCCATTTCGCACCACGAAGGGAAACCATGGCTGAAGCCAGAACATGTGTTGGTATTTTCCGGGAATCGAAACATTCCGTTGGGTTTTAGGTTGTGCGAAGTGGATTTCGTCCATCCACCGTAGGTGTCCTTATGATCGGTCAGTTCGCATGGAAATAGAAGGGTTCCTCTGGTTTTGTTTGTGTTTGTTCCACTTCTCAGGGCAATCAATTTTCCAAAAGGCGACCTATCCAGAAGCTTTGCCTGAACAACAATCAATCCCTACGCATAACTAGTAAGTTCACAAGCACATTTATACCAACTGAAGCGCCCCGCATCAGCAGACACACCACCTAGCTGAAAGTTAGGGTGCATTGCGCCATGTTTAAGCGACGAGTCTTTCTTATTTGGCAGTCAAATCTATATACTGCATACGGTCAACCTATACACTGCATGCCCGATGGTGCGCTGGGTGCGCATGCCATCCAAGAAGCTGGTTCTTCACCTGCTAGTGCTTGTCCTTCGTGAAACTCCTGCTGTTGTTTGCATGGCAGTTCAGTTGATGTGATGTGCTCGAGTCGACCCCATAGGCCTTTTGGGAGCTGGATTTCCCGTTGAGGATGCAACATGTCAGACTTGCTTTATGGAAGTCCGGGTTTCGACTGTTCCAAAGGCTGGTCATGTTGGACAGCGCTTGTGCTAGTTGCGTTGATATTTCTTCTTTGGGACCCTCACAATCTCTAAACAATCATTGACTCCTGTAGGGATAGCAAGGAGACGAAATCAAATCTTACTGGTTTCCTGATTAAGGCCTACCAGGGAATCCTCGGCCATGGCCATTCTGGTGCAAACACTTCGTGTCTCTTTTTAACCTTTATCCTTTTTGGGGTGGGAGACTAAAGTGAAATGAGCTGCCTATGCTTGGGGGTCCCTATTCAAGACTCACCATATCAACCCAAATGTGGTTTGGAGCAAGAATGAACAACTTGACTATCGCGGCCACCGAAAGCTTGCCGGGGAGGCATTTTGTTGTCCCTTCCACCCCCTGGTGTGAGTTCTTGTGTGGTGATGTTAAAAGGGGAGTTATTGGAAAGCACGTATCATGTTGGCTTTGTTTCAAAGTTTCGTTAGGGAGCGTCCCTACCTTGAACACATTGCCCAAAGCAAACCCGCATACATATGTTCATCGATGTTTAAACGCCAGGGGGCTGTTAATTTTGAAATTTTGATGTTGAGGTCCCCAGATTGGGGACCCCTCTTTGGCGGGCCGTGATATCAACAATCAATTTTTCGGGGGAGGGCATCCAATAATGCAACTGTTTACCTTTTTGCTTCCCGTAAAAACGATCCCCAAAAGATGTTCGCCCGGTTTTCCTTTACTTTAGCGATTCAGACATGGGTACCAGTCAAAAGAAACCCCAACACATGTTTTTGCCCTTCCCTTTGAAGAAAACCCCCAGGACCCAATGGCTGGCAATTAACCCCAAAACAGCCATTGGGAGGTCATTCCACAGACCATTTGCCAGCCGGGCTCAAAGGGGGATGGTCACCCAAGCCTTCAAGCCAGATGGCCCCAAACCTCCCACCTCTTGTGGGTTTGGAACCAACATCCAAGCCCTGTTTGGGCGGCCATTGCCATTGGGGTCTGGCCTTCTCTCGTCGCAGGTCTTCTTTCTCGGGGCAAACTGCCAGGACCTGCGGATGGGCAAGTGCCGACCCGAGGTTTCCTTCAACGAAACGGCTTTGGGCGAGGTGCGGGGTTCCGACCAGGGGCGCCGGGGAAATCAAAAGCCACCTCAAAGATGTTTGCCCATGGCTTATGCTTTTCAGTTGGGGCATATTTCCTCGGTTGCCACTTCAAAGATCTTGTGCCATTTTTCTGTTGGTGGGGTGCTTTTAGGTTGGAGATCCCCAGCCAGGGGCGCTCTTCCCCCCACCCCCGCCCTTTCTGCTTTTTTGCGGAAGGGGTTCCCTTCGAAATTCAGCCAACCAAAAACGGGCGCCATGTCTTGCTCATGGCCTTTGGGCAACTCTGCGGCTTTGCCCGCCGAAGTGCTGGCTGGTGACATGTTGAGTGTGACAAGCAATGACTCGGCGCACAGAATGTTGGACCCCCCTCCTGAATTCGAAAAACAAGTTTCTAGAATGCAGGGTGCGATTCCTAAAGGAGGTCCAACATTGGGGGTGCGACTCTGGCGCCACCCCAAAGGCCACACCTTGGTGGCCGAGGTACCCAGCCATCCCTCTGGACACGGTGCTCGCAACGCCCTACGGCGCAATCTTGAGGCCAACGCTTTCTTGCGATCTCGCCACATTTGCTTAGCAAAAATCATAGATCCTCAAGCCTTGACCTCATGAAATCCGTCTTGAGTGCTTCCCAGCGCATGTGTGGGATTGCGTGCCTGGGTTATGATGGGGCCCAAGCCACTTTGGGGTAAGATTACGACTGGAGCCAATCCGAGAGTCACAAGGATGTCATATGTTTTGGAGCCAGTAGGGTGTGCCAACATAGCTGCTGCTGTCCCAAAGGGACTTTTACAAGCCCTTCGTAGGTGGGGAGGAATGCTGCATTGTAAACAAAAGGCAAAAGTTGTTGAGACGCATAGAGAGAGAGAGACGCAGACAGAGACACAGACACGGATATAGGAACAGACACACACACACACAAGACACACACATACGACACACACTCAAACACAGAGACACGCAGAGACACAAACGCAAACACACACACACACACACAGAGACACAGACGCAGACAGAGACAGACACAGACAGACGCAGACACAGACACACGCACAGAGAGACACGGGCAGAGACACAGGGATACACACAGCGAGACAAGCAAACAGAGACACACACACACACAGACCCAAACGCAGAGACACACACAGGCACAGAGAAACACAAACACACACACACACACAAACACAAACACGAGAGCAGACACGCACAGATGCACGCACAGAGAGAGAGAGAGAGACACAGAGAGAGAGAGAGAGACACACACACACACACACTCACCCACACACCCATCCCACACACCCACACAGAGACACACGCACACACACACAAACAGTCACACACACACACACATCCGCGCGCGCACGTGAAGGAGTTGCTCATGTTTTGCTAGTGTTCACGAGACCCAGTGGGGAACGAGCTCGTCATGAAGGTTCTCTTGGGACATTCTCAATTTCACTTACCTATAGTTCAAAACTAATAAACACATGCTGACATTCTTTGCGCGTTGCTACGCCCATTTTACCATGACCAAATTGAAGCGTTTGCGAGGCATGCTTTGCAAAGCGCAAGCCAAACGCCATCCGCAGTGGGTCAAAGTCAATCGAATTGGAGGCGCGAGGCCAATGGAAAGTGGCAGCGCCATCGGCACAGCACCACGCCCGCATTTAAATACAAGAGGCCAGATGGAAGTGCTCTTTTGGGGGTCCCCTAAAATGGTGATTGTCCCTTTGTTTTACTTTTAAAAACAATCCTTGTGATCTCACTTGCAATATGGAGGCCATCTAATATGTGAATAGCTTTCCCAATGCTTACCTGCATGAATGGTATGACGACTCAGTGCAACACTTTATGTTATGATGTTGGCACAAGTTCCATGCGTTGGAGGATAATTGGCGTTGTTCCCCGTGGTATTCGTGGTCATTCTGTGTTGTGCTGCGTAGGCCTGACATCAACGATGGACGGCTATCTTGTTCTGAGTTTGGCAACGGGCTCTTCAGACGAGCACGTGTCCGTGCAGTCATGCTGGTCACCGCAAATTTAGACCCTTTGCCCGACTCGGCATGTTTGGTTTGGCCAGCAAAGTATGACTCGCCTGCGACATGTTTGGAGCGGAGCCCATGAGGTCGCCTTTAGCCATCGATACCCTTCACAGCAGTCATGTGCCTAAAATCTGTGCCGATATTTGGGAAGGGGTCCCGTTCAACTGCATGCATGCAAGGCTGGGTCACTTTCATTCACTGTCTTGGTCATTGATGTTAGTCTGTGGGAGGTGACTAGGGGTCGGACCCAGACGAGCGACCCGCCCAATTTTCCCATGTTCTCCTCGGGGTTGAGACGAATGTTTGTTCCAGAAGGTCTCCCCATACTGGGTGCACCTGGGACCCTTCTGGACTCAACTGCGCGAATCAATGACTGGGTCGGGGACCCCAATCAAGTTGACCCGTTTCTTCTTCGGCTTTTCCAGCCGAGGCTCAGGGGAAGCGGATACAGCAGACGCCGAGGCAGGAATCCATCCTGCCAAGTGCGGGATTTGTTCAATAACACGGTCCGATGCACAATTGACCTCAGTTGTCCACAGCCGACCTTGTAACCTTTCGATTTTCCCATTTTGGTCCATTCGTGGTCTGGCCCCAAAGGGTGAACCTTTTTTTTGGGGGGGTCCTTTGGGCGACGGAGTGACCCTCACGACGCACCAATGGTTGGTTTGCTTCAGATAATTATCCTTTAGCCATCCAGAAGGTCGCTGTAACCTTCTTGCGATACACTGCTTTCGCCTTGGCCGTTCGTTTTTGAAGTTTGCTGGGACTCTATACGTTTAGAAAAGGCAAGCACTTGGCGAGTCCCTCGCCAAAGAGGTTACAGGTATGTTCTGTCCAGGCCCCACTGCTTTATCAACCAGCGCAGAGCACACACCTCCTGGATTCGTTTGGAGCTGTACAGTTTCAATTGTGGTTTTGTGATTCCCGCGCCTCACCGGCGATGTTTTGCCTTGGGCCATAAAAACCCCCGGGGCGTGCGCAGGCAATGCTGGCAATGCTGGTAGGTAACTGCCATTTGGAGATGCTTCGCTTCCCCCAAGTGTGGTTTTGGGATGTGTTGATTTGAAGCTTTCTGTTTGGTTCAGCAAGACCATCTCTAGAGGGCCAGGATTGGGCTAACAGGCAAGTCCAAGAACTACACCGGGGTGCCCGATTTGGCCTTCTTGGCTACTGGAGGTCTGGGACACAGTGGCTGACGCGTGGCCTTCAGGTGCAAGAGAACAACCAGCACCTTGCACAGGACAACAGCGCCCGGGGCGCCAAAGGGGACCTGGGGAAAACAAGGGACAGCCTCAAAGGTGTGAAAAGCTGCTGGTCGGGCGTGCCTTTGTTTTCCTAGGTCAAAAAGCAGATTAGCAAGCTCTGAGTGGGTCTGTGCTTTCAAGTGAGCAACTCACAATGAATGCCATCAGTAGTCTGTAACTAGTTTAACCTGCAGGGGAGGCTGAGATGAGAAGAGCTCGCCCGGATGCCCTGCAAAACCTGGTGTCCCATTTGCTCGAACCGCATCTGTGTTTGTCAGAATTTTGCTACTTACCAGCTCACCCAAATATCTTCCATTAGTCAACATCGTGAAGATGCAGATTTGGTGTGCTACTCGTAACAACGGCGGTCTCCCAGTCCTGTGTATGTCTGAATCGGCACTGAAGGCTGATGGGACCGTTTGGCTGGTGGACTCTTTGCTCTCAGACACCCTAGCGCCCCGAAGTTGACACCGACTGTCCGTACTGGCAGGCTTGCATTTCACATGATGCGTGCGGCACACTTAACATGTGTCTGCCAGTGAGATAATGGGCATCATAGGCTTTGCCAGCTCATGGGCGACACATCTTAAGCACATGGGTTGGTGGCTGGGGGAAGCTAGACCATATCCTTGTCCAGACTGGCATGACTGTCCCATCATCCCAGCCAGGGGACGACTTGTTTGTGTGTGGCTTCGGAGCCTCTGCGTGAACTGGATCTCCACTGCTCATGCATGGTGTACTCCCAACGTGTAAGCACGAGTGCGCGCAGAACATGATGATACCTGAGAATCAGAAAACAGCATTCTCGTCAAGGCGCAGCAAACTGACAATGTGGTTCTGCCGAGTGAAACTTTTGGTCGCAGCTCGGTTTTTGCCCAGGCCCAGTCGCTGACACCCTCAGATGTGAGAGATTTGAAGAAGACGTGCCGCGCTCAGATAAACGGCTAGAACCCCGCTAGAGCAAGAGGCTTAGTTTGTTGTGATTGGCGTGTTTTTTGGTATGTTAAGACTCGCATTGTCATTTTGTGGAGGCTCTTACTTGCCTATTCCTGGCGATCGAGGTCCTCGGGTGCGATCGCTCGTCAGTGTGTGGTCATGGAATGCTGATGTAAGCTCATTTGGCTTGCTGAGCCTGCGGGCGATGGAGCTAGACGTCAGCAGCGGAATGCATTCAAGTTGACTCACTGGTACTGGTTGATTAAGCATGACGCGGTACATCCTGCTGCCCGCAAGCTGACACGTTCAATCCCCTTAGAATGCGAGGGGGATTCGAAACGCACAGAGGATTGCCAGGTTGAACTGGTCCTGGACATAGCGCATTTCGGGATGTTTCTTTTAAGGGTAGCTCCTTGGGGGCGTGTTAAAGGGATCCGGAGCGACGCCACCTGCTTTGGACATAAATTTGTTTGGACAGTTCTTTTTTAGTTGCGCGTGGCACATTTTGGAAGCTTTTGGGGAGCCTTTAACTTTGGCCATCTGTAAATGCATTGGTTTTCCTTGGGAACACCCTTGGTTGGTTTTCAAGGCAAACCAAAAGCAACCCAGCGACTGTTCAGTTCGGCTTCCTAGTTTTGAGGCGAAGCCAAATTGGCGACAGGTTCTTTAACACGTCACTTGTCAAATCCATCAATTGGGAGCACCAGAGCTGTGTGGGCCCCCCGTTTTTGTTTTTTCCGCATGTTTGTTCAACGGGGTTGTAAATGTTGGGTCTGCTTCAATGTTACCCCCGCGCCCCTCGCCCCCACCCCCACCCCCGCGCTCCCCCTGAACTGTGCCAACTGTCCAGCGGGGCCTCTTTAGTGGGCGAGTCGGTTGTTTGGGTTCCCCTTCGAGGCCATCTTCCGATACTTAGTTTAGTATTGCCAAGCCTCACTCTCAGATCCGAGAACTCCCTTTTAGTGTGGCCAATCCTAAATTTAGTATGCCATTACTCTTGGATTCTCAGTATGTAGTCTTGCCAAACTTAATTTAGTATTGTCAAGACTTTCTGTCAGATTCCCCGACTGAATTTAGTTTCGCCAATTCTCAATTGAGTATTGTCAAGACACTCTCAGATTCCCAGTACTCCAGTATTAATTTCACATTCCCAAGCCTTACAATTAGCTTCCGCGGACGAGTTGGCATTAAAGCGAATATGTTTATATACATATATATATATGTATATAAAAGTTGTCTCAAACTTGTTGGTTTAGGGACCACTTCAAAGAAATATGTTCCTAAGGTTGCACGTTTGTTTGTGGCCCGTTTCTTGGCCCACGTTCCATTTACGCGACCCTCGAAGCAGTCAAAGGAAAAGCAACTTGAAAGCGACCCCACCCAACCGCGGCGCCACTGGCGACGCTTTTGCCTCCCTCTAAATCAAGCCCGCAAAAAAAAACACCAATTCGAAAACCCTGGTGTCAACTGGTTTCCTCGGTTTCCTTGGTGCCAACTGGGTTTCCTGATTTGCTTGGCACCCTGTTTGTGGGCAACTGGTTTCCTTGGTTTCCCAACAAAAAACGCCAAAGAAGTGCCTTTTTGTGCCCATGGGGCACATCATAATAATCATAGAATCAGAATAATCATGGTGATGGTGATGATGGTGATGGTGATGACGGTGATGGTGATGATGGTGATGATGGTGATGGTGATGATGGTGATGGTGATGATGGTGATGATGAGGGTGATGGTCGTGGTGATGCTGATGATGCTGATGATGATGATGATGATGATGATGATGGTAATGGTGATGGTTATGGCAATGGTCGTGGTGATGCTGACGATGAGTATGATGATGATGAGGATGATGATGGTCATGATGCTGATGATGATGGTGATGGTGATGGTAGCAGTGATGGTCTTGGGTGATGCTGATGATGTTGATGATGATGGTGCTGCTGCTGATGATGCTGCTGATGATGATGAAGATGATTATGATGATGGGTATGATGATGATGAATATGATGATGAATATGATGCATGATGACGATGATGATGCTGATGATGATGATGGTGATGATGGTAACGATGGTGGGTGGTGCTGATGGTGCTGTGTGAGAGTGCATTGAACTTGACCTCTGTACTGTTGAGCTGAGTGAACATCTTGTTACTCATCTCAGCGAGGCTTGTTTGGCTTGAAGGCCTCACGAGGCATGGCGGCCTGCAAAGAGACATCGCCTAAGGGCGTGGCCAGTGCCATCAAGATCGGAGCTTGAGCGTATCAAAGAAGAAGAAGAAGAAGAAGGTGATGGTGATGGTGATGGTGATGGTGGTGATGGCAGTGATGATGATGATGATGCGCAAGAATAACATTCAAAGCCAGTCTACACAACGGACCCACTGGACTCTGAGGTGCTCGGGTGATGCTGTGGTGGAGGCCCTTGCGCTTGGGGAGCCCAGGCCGATGCCCTCCGGAAAGCCCGCACGCAAAGGGGACAGCCAAGTTTGGGGCTTCACCTAATGCTTTTAATGCCTATGAAATATCTCAACCTCAGGATGGAGTTGAGTTGAGGACGGTTTATTTTTATTTTAAGCGGTTAACAGCGGTTTGTTGACAGAGTACGACCAGGGTTGCCCCTTCTTTTTTCCCAGCAGAGAGGCCTCACCAGTCAAATGAGTTTGACGCGGCCATCGGATCACGAGCTGCAGGCCGTATCTCGCGTGAGTCCAAAGAAGCGTCCGGTTGGGCGTTTGATCGGGCCCATTGCTTCAGCTTTCAAAGTTCTTATTTTGGGCTTTGGAGCTGGTCTTTGATCTGCTGAAGGGCAGAATGTATGTGTCTGTTATTCCATTGGTGTTGTAACGGGAGTCTGTCACAAGTTGGCGTATCTTCAGGTTTTAGGGGACTCAAGCAAGTGGAAGGGGTGCTTCCTCCTCAAGACCGGATGTGAGGTTTGTTGCTTCGGCAAGAATCGCCGCCCTTCCCAGGCCAATGGCGGGTTTTAGGCTGAAATGCCTATTTATCACCTGGATCAACAAATCAGCAACACCTGGAGGTTTGGACCGAGCGTTCAACAAGACGGGTGTGTTTTTAAATGGAGGATTGCCCCCAAAACAAAAGCGCAAACTGAGTGGTTTCCATGTTGGTTCCTCATGCAACAATCCCAGGGCACTGACAGGAAAGACATGGATCCTTAAATGCCATGGTTGATTGTGACTCACCTGCTGAATCTTGCAATCGCCGTTCACGGGGCTTCTGTGAGGCTGAGTTGATGCTCAGCTGAACAGAATCACTAGAACTCGAGGAGACCAAAGGGCGTGTTCTTCATTTGCCTCTCTGCGTGCGCATGCTCAAAGAGTCGGACAACATAGGCCGCCCGCGAAATGGTTGGATTCCTTCCGGTGTGCATGTAAACACCCAAAATGGACCCCCAATTCAGTCTCCCCCCCCTGCGCTCTCTTTTGGTGGATTCCACAAAACATGCTAAACCCCAAACCCAAATTGTTCCCTTTTTCAACTTATCGGGTCACTGGTTGGCGCATATTTGCGGCTCCCTGAGCCGAGGTCCAACAGCGCCACCTTTGCGTCAAAAACCAAGTTCGCCAAGGACTGGTGCTTGCTCCAAGCGAGGGCCCTCCTAAGCAGCAGCGAAAATGTGGGCTGTTCTTCTCAAGGAGTTGTAACCTAACCTGCCAAAGGGCACTTCCCCTTTGGGCCCTGGCTTGAAAGTGGTTGGTTTTTGTTGTGTTATTTTTCTTTCTTTTGTTTGGGGGGGGGTGGCATGCAACCATTCCCAACCGCCAAGAGGCAGAGTTGTGAAGCGCGAGTCTTTGAACCAATCCTACATTCTACGTAGGAGAAGTACCTCAAAAAGAAGGCACAAAAGCACGTGCAGCAGGCCGGGCAGTGGATTCCAGAGATGCGCTCCGGCTTGGTATCCTAGAGCATGTCACGTGCCATGCCCTCCGCCTGAGGAAGATGGAGTTGACCCCCGGAAATTCCCATTGCGCTTGACTTTCTTTGGGAAGACCGCAGCGACGATACATCTTGGGGCCTAGCCCATCAAGGACTGGACTTTTTCATGAGTCAGATCTTCCCAGACTTCGCTGCAAATGGCTGAAAAGGCAAACATACTGTTTCCACAGTGTAGTGACGGACACGCCTGTGCGGTGCCCAAATTGCAGTGGTGTGACCGAGATCCCGGATGCTTCCTCTCGAGTTTCAATAGATGCAGGCTTCATATCCTTGGAATCCAAGATTGGCATCACTTTGGAGTATGCACGACTTCCGCGGCAACCAGCCCTTTGCGTTGGCCAGCCGGCCAGGTTGGCGGACAATTGCATCTATACGATTGGGACGGCGATACCACCGCGATCACGATACATGCCATCCTCCATCTCCAAGGATGTTCCATCCGATTGCAAGCTTATACATATATTATATATATATATATATGATATATTGTGTCCGCCTTATTCCTGATTGCGTCAGGTATTTGGATGTCCCCTTGGGTCAGTTTGCTTTGTGAGTTTCACTTTTGGCAATTGACAAGAAAAAATGTGTTTTTCTTTGATGGTAGCAAAGGCACGCAGAGTAAGATACAGATGTGCATGTACCCCCTTTAACCGGGGAGGGGACTTTGCCCCTGCGCAGGGTGAAGCAGAAGTAGCTAAGGTTGAAAGGGCTTGATCACTTTGTGCGAAACTCTTACATGTTGCAGCTTTTGAGCGTAGGGCTCCCATTTTCAGGAACCCGCCTTTTGGAGCCTCGGCATCTGCTTTTGGGGAGCCCCCTGTTTGGGTTCCCTGCGAATTGGTCCGCATCGATTCATCGATGTTGGGCATAGGTTCTTTCGCAGGTGACTTTTTTGCGGCCCAGCGCCATGGAGCTGTGCGAGACCTACTACAAGGCCTCCAGGAGCAAGGCGCGCCAGAAACCGACCCGTCAGAAGAAGTTTCTCACGCCTCAAAGCGCCTCAAGCGCCTTTTGTGAGATTGTTGTCCGGGTGGACCCATTGCCTTGTCGTTTAATCACGACCTGTTGGTCCACAACTATTGAGCTTCGCTCTAGCGGGAGCCGTGATCTGTAAGAATGCCTTTTGAGTCGCTGATGCTATCAGTAGTCCACAATCATTGGTTTCAGGCATCCGAGGGACAACCAAAAAAGGATCATACACGAACGGAAGGAACCGGCTCGAAAGGTATTTTCAGGAAACACGTGTTTTGCTAGTTCCCTGTACTTGCTTGGTCAAATCACCGTCATGGACCCCTTGAGGGGTTCAGACCATGAGAAAGGATTCTTAGGAAGCACAAAGGACTGGAACCGTTGATTTTGGAGTCGGGTAATTAATCCTTCGGTGGTTTGGATTGGTGGTGGGATTTGAACCTCTTGTTCTTGTGGAGGGTAAAATGGGTTTCACCACCCCGGATCGCCAGCAAACCACTGGGCGTTAAACCACCAATCAGAGGGAAGCTGAGGTGTCGTTCCCTGTTTATCTGCAGAGGGGCCCATGATATATTGTCCTTTCTGGCGATTGACAGGCGATTTGTTTACAGAAGGGGTGCTCACAGGGATGCAATTTTTACAGCTCCAAAGCTTGCAAAAAACATCCGTAAATGCTATATATATTTTTTCCGCATGTGCGGACGCTCGCCTCTGTTTACGGGGCACCATATATTTTTCCCTGAAGCCGGGAAGCTGAGCCCCGCAAATGTCCTGTCGCCCAAGCCGTGCCAGGTCTGTGGCTTGCGCTACGACTACTTGTCCTCCATCTTGTGCCAGGCTGATGCAAGGAGCTTAGACTACCAGTGCCCGTCTCAAAATCGAGGGCCCCCGAAAAATATGGGGGAGAACTTCGGGTTCCACCATTTGGGTGATTCCTTTAGGGAGCCCACCAAAATCGTGTTTTTTCCAGTTGGCTTCCCTTTAGACATACCCTTTTACACACTTGGGCAAATGAACCCAGAAGACTCCAGGCCTGATGTTCATACCCCTCTGCCCAAATCGGGTACATAGAACTTATAAGGGTTGGAGGCCAGGGAAGCCAAGGGGTATGAACAAGGGGTATATACTAAGTATATACGATAAAATAGAGGGCCCCCTAGAAATGGCATCCAGAATCGATCCTTAATCCTGATGTTAGCGATTTTTTCCTTGTACAGGTGTCATATTACAGATCAAGATTCGGGATAACCCCCCCCGTTTTGAACAACCCAGTATTTTGGGTAATCCCCCCGCAAGCTTTGGGCACGCTTTGGGTCTAGAAAAGGATGCCCTTTCCTTGGTGACCGGAACGACTATGACCCTCTTTGGGGAAGCGACTGTTCGCCAAAAAAAAATAAGCTCACCATGCTTTTCTTTTCGTGCTCAGTATTAGAGCTGAAGAGCAGCGAGTCTCCTTCCACAACACAACCAAGACCCCTCCGAAATGTTGTCTGGACAAATCAGAAGTAGTTCTGACACGGGAAAGCGACCAATTTGAGCCTTGCCTTTCCAGTTTCACGAGCCGGCTTCGGCATTCAGAAGTTGAGTGTTTCCTTTGAACGGATGCTTTGCAGGTCAGGCGCTGACTGGCAGGCATTGGTTAAACACACACCTGGTTCAGATGCATGAAGAAGCTTGGGTAAGCACGCAGCTAAGCAAGTTACTAGACAAAGCAGGTGTGAACCCTGAGAGCTCGTATCTAAAATTCTAGCTCTGGCGAATCAGCCAAACCACTCAGAAGCAGTGCCTGGTCTAGTTCCGCAGATGTTTCTGTCCCAAGTGGTTCCTTAGCATCTCTAAAAAAACTGCTTCAGAAAGGAACCTGCAGTTCGCCCATTCGGCCCGAGGAGATACCCACTTGTCAAGCGGGCAGTGCAGATACTGCCATCAGACGTGTTGCTTTTGGAGGTCAGCAGTTTGCCGAGTTTCTCCGTGCAATTGTTTTAAAAATGCGCAGTGGCGGGTTCAAGAGGGCTCTGACGAAGGGACTTCAATGTCCACGCATGAGTTCTCGCTCTTGGACAACTGGATCGGCCTGCCTAGAGCTTTCAGGTACCACTGTAGTACTGTAGGTAGCCAGGTATGGCTACCTTGAGGTTTTACATCATGGTTTCTCTGGTCACCTACTATTATTATAGTGGCAACTGGAAGCGCTCGGATTCTTGCTTTGCTTTTAAGTTGGTTCTCGCATGCTTCCCCTTCCCGCGCAATTCGCCCACCAGAAAGCCCGCCAGATCCGGCCCCACACTTTGACATGCTCCGAAGCAGCCCGACGGACACTGCGTTCACTTAACTTGGAAGCGAGTGGGGAGTGTCGGAAGTCAATGCTTTTTGTTGTGAGATGGTTTGAAGCCTCCAGAGGCAGTTTCGACAAGAATGGATACGCTTCCGTCAGAGTCCGGTGCATTTAGCATGTAAAGAGTCTGGTCAGCATGGTGCTCAAACATGAGTGTTTCTTGTGTCAGCAGAAATCGAACTTGGTCGGGAAGTTTCCCTTAATGTAGTCTCTCCTTTTTGGTGAGCGACCCCTGTTAGTGGTTCAAAGATCATTTGGGGCGACATACACACGAAAAACTGAAAAACAGGGATTCCGGGGGAAGGGGGGGATGTGTTGATTTGGACATAGGGAACCGTTTTCAAAGGGAAGCCAAAAGGAGCCCTGCGGACCATGTTGCCCAGGTGCGAAGCGGTGGTCGGTATTTGGTGCTGGACTGCGCCGCTGGACTGGCTGGGGACCCAGTGGTTTTTTTTTGGAGTCGGAGCTCTTTTTTGGGATCCCTTTGGTTGGTGTGAAAAGAAAGCCACACCCAGTTGCCCAGTGGTCCCCCTGTAAACTCAGCCAAGCAAGAAAAGGACACCCTTGTTTCCCCATTTTGGGACCAAATGCACGAAAGAGTAAAGGCTTGGGCTGGGCGCAATGATTTCTTTTTGGGGAGTTGTCCAAGTGTGGAGACTCAGTTGAACAAAAGTGCCCGGCTGATCTTGTGCACGTTCATGTTTTTTTCTTCGATCGTCCTCCTTACTTCAGCAACAGCTTAACCAGTCAACTCAAGAAGTGAACACGTGTTGAAATCTGTTTGTACTTGTTTGAAGTAGCATGGACCCCCAAAATAACTGCACCCCCCAAAAGGCCCTACCCCCAAAAGGCCCTATTTTTGGTTCGAGCAGCCTCGCTTTGGGGCACCCCACGTCAGGGTTTCGTGCTAATCTGCGCAGTAAAACACAGACAACCGCCACAGCTCTCCCCCGAGCCGAAATAAAAGAAGCTTACAAAGAGAAAATCACACCTAGAATCCAAAACAAACTTGGCCCACAAAAAAGATTTACCAACAAATAATGGCCATGAACAGTTTTAAGACCACTTTTGTTGGCACTTAAGAACAAGAATCCTTTAAACCGATGGCCAGCAAGAAACCAGAAGACACAAGGCTCGTGACTTCTGCATGACGCGCAGACCTTGGCGTCAAACTTCCCCCCATCAGGTCACCGGGGCCATGGCGCAGCAGCTGGCCGGAGTCGGCCAGGCGCAGTTCGCAGACGTTCAGTGCCCCTTGCTTTTTGTGTGTGTGTTTTTTGGGGAAGAGGGTTCCCTAAATCCACATGGCCATGGGATGGTGCCCTTTCTTGTTTTGTTTTGGGGGGGGTTCCCTAAATCCACCTGGCCTTTTGGGATCGCGGGAAGGTCGTAAGAGTAAATTTCATTGTGGTAGGTCAGCGCCCATAGCGTTCGAAACCTTGGGCGAGAAGAAGGTTCTATTATCTCTTGCTGCTTTACTACCCATTTGGATCCCATCAGGGGCTTGGATGCGGCTCAGGTCTTCCGGGTCTTCAAGGGCGGCTTCCCGGAGAAGGCTGCGCGAATTGGGTTTGGCTGGCTTGAAACAAAAACGCGACCAGCTCGCCAAGGCGCTTTTTGGGTTGGTTTCAGAACTCTGAGGTGAGGGGTCCAACTCGTTTCCAGCCCGAGGGCTTCTTCGAGTTGGACCTCTCAGAGGCGGAGAAGGCTGCGGTGCGGCCCATCGCCGTGGAGGCAGGTCGGGTCCCTTTGGGCACAGCCCAGAACTGGTGTTTTTGACTCATGGATTTCGGCTTTCCCTTTGGTTTTTGTTTTGAAACCGCCCAAACAACGGCTTACCAACTCCCAAAAACGACGAGCCACCCACTTGGTGCCCTGGTTTCCACGTGGGGTTGGTCAATCTTCCACTCCGGGCCGTTGACCCCGGATTCGTCCACTGGTTGATTTTGAGACCGGGTGTTGTGTGGGTTGAGGGGAGAAGAATCACTTTGGGAACACCCCTCCCCAGGACGGGTTGATTGAGCCTGGGTCGACATTACGTAGGATGGGTGCCACACCCAACATTTGCACCCACCACTAAGCATACTACATCGTACGTTCGATTTGCCGCCAGCCATGAGCGACTGTTCTAGGGGTTGGTTCTCCCCATTGGTTTCAATCTTGCAATATTTGGATGCAGTAAGGGCCTCAAGAGATAGAATGGGGGTTGTAGGGTACCACCCCAAATTTCCTCATGACATGTCAGAAACATTTGTTGGAAGAGGGCGTTGTATGTTTAGTGGGACAAAGCCTTGCAGAATATCCTACGACCAACCCCATTTGGTCGTTCGGGTAGGGTTCAAAGACCAGCTTAGCTGCATGCGTGCTTGTCGTCACCAGCACTTCAGTACTTCTGAGGCACATCAGGTACTTGGACCCTCAGAGCGCGATTATTGGCTGTTGTGGTAGTTGCCATAGGAAATTGTGGTTGTCGTGGGCAGTTGCCAAGGTGTGGCTGTGTTGGTGGGAAGCCTCAAAAAGGGGGGGCTTCCTGGATCCTGGTAGCTGTGATCATAATCGCCAACCCCCTGGACCAAGCTCCTGTGCTTGCTGGATGTCGTGATAGTTGCCCTGTAGCTGCTCACCAACTAATGCAAAGGGACGACATTCGAGCTTACAACCATAGATCATCAGATCATCACTTAGACTGGTTCCATAGTTCTTACCCCCAGTCCCCATTCTAGTCAAATCCAGCTTTTACTGACGGAAATCCGCTTACCTGTCGGTTTCTTCCAATTGTCGGATTTCCATTTCAGGTGCCAAGTGGATTTCGTCCCTCGACCCATGGCCCAGTGAGCCCAGCGAGCCCAGCGAGCCGCGGCCAGGCGCTCTCAAGCCACGAGCCCTTCTCCACGGAGTGTGGCGCTCGGAGCTTTGTGCCGGGGCCTGGGCGGAGGTGCAGAGGTTTCCCCTCGGCCAAAGAAAAGGGCGGCAAAAGCAAGCCACAAATTTCTGGAAAGTTGGGAAGTTTGGGGTTGCCTCTTGTGATTCTCTGGAATCGTGAAGCAATTAGTTGGGGATGCGAAGCCTGTTTTGGTAACTCACGGGGATTGTTCACAGGCATGTCGCACTTAAACAATAACTGGGTGGAGCTGGCAATGCTTGGCAGATCCCCAACGCTGGACACTTGATCCTGCTTAAGTTGCGGGGCGCGGTGTGGGTCTGTGAATTCCAAGAGGGAAATGTAGCAGCAACCATTCGAGGGAGTTTTTGCAGCAGGACTGCATGCACCCTGACCGAAGCAATGTGAAGCTAGCCGATGATCAGGTCCCGCAAGGGCTCGGGAGAAAAACAAATCATGGGGATGCGTCACCGTGGCTCAAGAAACAAAACACGGCGTGGAGACGCTTTTAGGCAACTCAGCGTACCCATTGGCACGGCATAATACTAGCATTGACTAGCATTGACATCCTTCAAGCCCCAGAGATCCCCAGGGCCGCGGCCGGAATCCAGCGCGTTTCGCCGAGTCGTTCGGCGCGAGGTGGCTGAGACCAGCGAGCCCGGCCCTTGAAGAGATCCACACTGCCCATGCGCCCTGTTGAAAGTCTAAGTACGGGTTTCCCTTACGGGCAAATCTGAGCAGTGCGAACACTGGTTCAAAGCTAGATGCCCCCTTTACGAGGGGTACCAAATGATGCCACAGTCCCAGCTATGTCTTACGCAGGACAAGTTGTTCCATTTGTTACCCTCTTTCCTTTGTCATGTCACGTAACAATGACTATGATTAATTTACCGAATAAAACATGGTTTTCTTATGGCAACGGGGCAGGTTGAATCACGAAGCACCCGCTATTCAACAATAGCAGGTTTCCCTGGGGCTGGAATTTGAGAAAATCCTTGTGCCTGCCAAATTTGTTTCGCTTGAAGTGTCCTATGAAAAGTGTACCCCTAGGCAGAGTTTTCCGGGCTTGCACGAGGTTTGGCCTCATTCGCACGCTTGACAGGATTGTGCGATGCAATCTCCATCCGAGACTCTGTCCAATGTGTTGATTTTGCAAGCCACACCACACCCATATCTTGTGCGCTGCGATTTCTCCACCGAATCAGGTAACGCAGAAGCCGAAGAGCCCGTCGCCCGGTGCCCAAGGGCAGTGAGAGACTTCCATCCCTCCGATTCCAAATGGTCCGAGGGTCGCGTGAGTTCCCTTGTGACCTCACAAACCGGGCGGGCGAGCGCCCTCATCACGACCAAAACGACAGTTACAAAGGCTGTACAGGCAAGTTGCAGCGGGTAAACTGGGGATGAACTGGGGCTTCCACGCCGCCATGCACTGAGCCAAATTCCAGAGGATCTAAGCGCCCAGTTAATAGATGTTAATAGGTGTTGCCCACCGCAATATTTGCCAACACGGGGTGAAAGCAAGCCTGGCCTCAAGGAAGGTTCGTGATCTTGCCAAGAGCTGTTTGGAAGCAACCGGGCTTGTCCTTTCAGGTTCAGCTTGATAAGGCTGAACCTCCAGAAATCCAAGCGCTGCCCTTTTTGGGCCAAACCAATATTCACCCTTCGCACCAAAGGTCAGATGCTCAGTATTTCAACTTGTCCAGCCTCAATATGTTTCCGCGAGCCAGAAGGGAATGCCATGGTTGAAGCATGGGGCTGGACAGTCTTCGGCGATTTCACGTAAATGAGGAGATCTGGTGTATTGAATCCAGGTCTACATGGAACATGGAAATGTGTGGGTAAATCCTCGAAATGCTTCCGCTGGCTTTCCTTGGGCTTCCATTCAAGTCGGATGAAACAGTGAAATATTGAAGAACTTCCCTGGTACGGCTGGGATCATGCTGGAGTTATTGGGTTCCTCAGTGCTGCAACTCGGATGCTTAATCTACGTCAGGCAAATAAGTGATAAGTTGTGACGTGACCTACTTTCAATCTGACAAGGGGTGGTTGACTTAGAGCTGGAACCACTATCATAGCATTCTTACACAGTAGGTTGAACATTCATACGTGTTCGTGTGTGCTGTTTCTTTCGGTGGGTGTATGCATCACCTGCATGTCCTGTTTGCCATCTGGTGACTGCAACAGGCTGCGGGCCGCGCGGAGGCAGGATGTTGGGTGTGCCCAAAACTTGACTGCTATTGGGTTGGATCTTTTGACTTCAACTTTTGGGTTGGATTTTTAGACTTCAACTTTTTGGGAAATACAAGTGTTTCCACTAACCCCGCAAAAGTTAAGCTTTTTTGCAGGGGGGTCAACAGCAACCAAGAAAACTTGAATGTGCAGGAAACTAACATTCCGCTCAGCATTGAAACAAAGTGGTGAGGTTGAGATGGACATGGGCGCCAGCAGAAGACCGGCAGCTGATTCTTGAGTCTTTTATGTGGGTGTGGGTCAAAATAAAACCACCAGGGGACCGCAGGATTTAGTCTTTGGTGTCATTTACCAGGGTTCCATTTTGGGTACCTATTTTTGACCCACAGCCATGTTGATGGCTGAGGTGAATTCATTTTCTGACCACGGGGAGATTCCGAGAAACACATGCGGTACTTCGGTTTCGCCGCGAGAGGGGTGGATGTTTTGCACCTCTGTTGTAAGGGCTCAGTCAGTGCTCGCCAACGAGCATTTATACCCCAAGCCCCTGGGTCAATGCATGGATGGATTTCAGCTTACAGCTCCATGTTCTTCTTGCAGAGGCTTTCCAGTTGTATTCAACGAGTAGGATGTTCGCAGAACAACAAACCGCGGAGAGCTGCAGTAGATGCGTGGGTCAATGTGTTTGTTTTGCTGCTGTGGTCCAAATGGCGAGCAACCACTTTCACAATCCTGCACGCCGATCTGAAGTTGGCATAAACCTTCGCAGGAAAATATCCAGCAGGAAAAGCAGCTGAGGGCACATCTATACAGTGGCCCGTGGAAAATAATTACAGAAGCATCAAACCACTGTTCCGTCGATTGAACGTGCGAAACAACAGCAAGAGCTTTGGCTAGTGCTTCCAGCAAGCAGCTTTGTGAGCGTCTCCTTTTCATTGAAGCCAACCAACAGCGGGTTCTCGACCGCAAAGGCTGCCTGAGATAGATTCGACCCACTTGAGATTTTGGTATGGGCACAGTTTGTGCAACGTGTTTTCTCACTTGTGATCATACTGCCGGAACTTGTTACCAAGCGTGTAGTAATAGATGCAGTTTGTTTAGACCTCCGCAACCCCAGCTTGAAGTCACTCGGATGCCGCTTCCAGCTCAGCTTGCTTGCACCTCCAAGAAGGACGTTTTTTTGTTTTTGTTTTTTGTCTTGGGTTGCCCCAGTTGCCCCGTTATAATATTCAACACGTCGGTTTTTGTTGTTCTTTCGTGCACCGACCCTAAGAATTTATAGTTTCCCATGGTGCCCTCAAAGATCACACTTGGTCGAGGATACTTCCCTTCTTCGCGGTTTTCAAGGGCATCAAGAAAGCTAGCCAAGGGACATCGAGGGACATCAACAAGAGTACATTGGGTTTTCAAGGATACTTCCTTTCCTTCTTCTTTTTCCTAATGAATGTCCTTGTTTGGGGGGAAAAACGGTTTCGGTTTCCGTTTCCTAGTGACTTTCCTTTGAGTTGGGTTGCCCCTTCGACACACCTCGCCCGGGGCTCCTTCGCAGGCGCGGGCCACCAGGGCGCGGCAGCGCAAGGCGGACTTCGAGTCGCTGGAGGCGTCTTCCCGTCGCTGGAAGGACGTCGGATGGCGATGCGATGCGGATGAGAAAAATGAAAGGACCCATATCAAACCATTTTTTTAAAATTTTCATATGGCTGTGGCTCAAAAGAGTGGTACCAAAATGGCACATTGGCAAATGGAACCACATTTGTCCTTTTTTGTGTTATTGATTTTGTTTTGGTGGGAGTCGTTATCACTATTGGACATCTTTGTGTTATTTCAGAGAGGCTTAACAGAATGGAGGTTGTCCAAGCCCAAACCTGCGTTTGATCTCCATGCACCTGAAAGGCCAACACTTTGAAGTGTAGATCCATGCACGTTGTTTGTTGTTCAAATTGCTGCCTCCATTTATCTTTTACATCTTGGTTTATAGGCTAACAATTGGTTGGGGGCCGACAATTGTGTAGAACCTTGGCAAACGGATGCCTTTGGCAAACGATTGACATGGCTTGCCCAAAATTTGGGCCAATTACCCAAAGGAGACTCTCTGAGACTCTAAACATGTTACATGTCAACCAGGAGAGTACTCCAACCCCAGAGATCTCCAGAGAAAGTAAAGGGACCTGCTTAGGGGTTGGACTCTTACTTGGATTTAAGCTTTGGCCCTTTTTGATAGACAACCTAGCCATGATCAAATCACAAGGGTAACTAGCTCGTGGGTCTTTCCTGGGAGAAACTATTCTGCCTCCATAGAACAGCCTCAAATGCTTGCCAGTCTCTGTAAAAGTGTGAGAAGTATAGGTCCGACTGTCTTTTGCGATTGAAGGAATTCAATATCCAACCTCCACAACCAAAGGGCCAATTGGTCATGCTGTCCAGTGTCCCAAGTCCATCGGCCTGGGACACAGCTATTTCAGTGCTATTGGGGATTCCCACGCAAGACGCGCTTTGCTTCCCTTTGGACAGCCAACCCAGCAGGTACTAGATTTCGTCTGGGAATAAGCATCGGAATGTGGGAATTCAAATCAGATTCGAGCTCCAAATCGATGCCTTGTGTTACCTTTCTAAAGTCCCTTGCAGGAATTGACATGTCCTACCACAATCCTAGCACCTAGTTTGCTGGGAACGGATCGAGTGGTTGCGTGTCAAAAACTCGAGCAGCATTCCTTTTGAGAAGCACAAGTTTTACTGGCAGACAGTTTCCTTTCCATCTCCACAGTCAAAGAGGTTCCCTTGCCATATTCCATTTAATTCCCCTTCAAATTTTAAGTCCACCAGTGACACAGCCCAAAGACACATAGTTTCCTGTATTCCTTTAGCCTTTAACATCCACAAGTGGGTGGATGCCGCAGTTTCCTTGCTATTTCCCGCACATTCCATGTAGTCTTAGCGTCTTTGAGCCGGCGGGACTCAGGATTCTGCTGGGCTCAAATCCTGGCAGATCGCTGCCAGGCGCAACCGGTGCACGGCCTTCTCATCGTGGCCGGGGAGGATGAGCTAGACCTTGCCATGGAGGCGCCTGAGGGCGGCGATTCTGCGGTGGCAGGGACCCGTTGGATGCAACTTGGGTGCGTTCCGTGGCGGCCCTTGGACTTCGCATTTGGACATAATTAAGGGGATACATGACATGTGCCCTTGGACTTCGCATTTGTCAATTTGCAAAGTTATTTACTGACATATTTAAGGGGATGCATGACATGTCTCTTTTGTTTGTTGCTTTGTTCGGTGCGACGATGAGATCTGGCTGCGCGGCGAGAGCAGGGAATAGACAGCTATGCATCCCATGCCACACTCAGCTCCGGCAATACCAGCACATCGCACGAAAGCCAAATCTAGCGCTGCCCGCGACCAAACGAATGCCACGTCTATAGTTACTGAGCCAATGCAACGCCAGAAAACTGACCAAACGAGTTGTGTTTTGCCCTGATCAGTTTTGCGGCATGGGCTGCTGTTGTTCTTTCAACAAGGGGTAACCACCTAAGCAAAGGGCAGCGACTCGGGAGTAAAGACTGAGGAACCCACGGGTCTGCCTATACATGTATATGAATGATTCATTTGTGTAACACAAACACATGTATAACTTCTAGCAATACAACACAATAGCATACATTGCCCGCATGCACAAGTACACATACATGGGGCGCTTGGGGCCTTGGGGCCCCCTCAGGTGTTGGAGGTGTGTTTGCCGCGGCTGTCGCCGGGCGGGCGCGCAGTGCTGTGCGGGTCCCCAAATCGGTCATGGCACTGTGCCCGCGGGTTTTGGCACTGAGCCATGTGGACGAAGCCCAGTTCGCGCATACGGAGATCCAATGGTAGGCTAGGTCCCCCAGTACTGCCCTTTTACTTTTTTTTGGGGAGGGTTCCCCTACTAAGATAAACTACAGGAAAAAGGGTACCCTTATTCCAACCTCTCTACTTGAGGACCTCGTAGAATATCCCACGTATTCATGTACTGTAGATGCACAAAGTCTTGCAGTTGGCAGTATTCATCGGAAGTTAATGGCCCTGGTCCTAGTCAGTAGTCGCTACTCGTCACCAATGGGCCGCAACGGCTCCCCTCATGGTTTCGAATACCTTGCAGGGGAGGGGGTTGTCTCTCAACCAATTGAAATGCTTGAGCTGCACCAAACCCTATCTCAAAGCCCGGCAAGCCCGCACCAGCAGTCCTCCAGTTTCGAAGACCAACTTTGGTGATGATGGATTGAACCACCCAAGGAAACCAGTGGGCCTGTTTTGAGGCAACCCTTCTTCGGTGTTGGGATTCGTTTCAAAAGTTCAAGCTTCATTCCGCCCGGGTTTGCAGCATGTTGTCCTTTCTTTCAATCGAACCTCTTCACTACATGCTTCGGACAGATTGAAATTAAGGGGGGGTGATCCCTGTACTATTCGGCTCATTCACGAGCCCCATGCCGGAGACACAAGTAGGAAGCACCAGAATCTGCAAGTCCTTACTGAAAGGGGACAAACAAACATCGCCTCATTGTCTGGACTTGTTTAGGTGATATCAATGTTAGATGAGTTGCTCTCATTGAGAAGCCACTTGTTCTGTGGTTCGCATTTGTTTTGCGCCCTGGCAGCATGAAAACCATGACAGCATGCATTTGGCGATTTATCACTTAGAGTGCCTTGCACCTTTGTCGGGGGATTCTCCAACCAGCCGCGAGATGGGTGAACCAACTGATACTAGCAAGCATGGCTGAACAGTACTGTGGATGGACAACATCCGGAATGGATAAAGTGAATATCGAGCTAAACCACGTATACCAACTGGTGCAGGATTTTGTTCATGCACAGTGACATCACTTGAAATTGGCATGCTGCAATCAGCCGCAGCTTGCGCAGAAGAGGCGCTAGAACTTCTGACGTGGTGCAGAGGCTGGCGTTTCACAAGTCGCGTGCCATGCCCGCGATGGGAAGCGTCCAGCCTCCGCCTGGCGTTGCAATCAAGTACTTCGAAACTAACCCTCAATTGGCGCTTTGCCACTTCACCACTCGCTAGGCAGCAGAAAAAAACACATTCAAGTTCCTGAATGTGCCATTTTGTGATTTTAACACCCAGCCAGTCCTCTCTTCTCTAGCTGACGGGGAGGTACTGAAAGACAGAAACTGTGCAAATGTGAGCGACCTCACCACGGTTATTGCGACCTTGCCCATGATGCAAGGCTGCTTGCATGGGGCACTCAGATTGGGGTTGGTGATTTCCGGTTGATCATGTATATATTTGCTTTTGGATTTCATTGATTGTTTCATCACCGGAGCACTACACTAGCGGGAAACATAAATCCTGATCAGCACCAGGGAGTTGCTGAACAGTTCTCGCCATTGGCTGGGCCGCCAAATGTGTCGTGCAATTGCTCAGGTTCGGCCAGCACATGCAGCGGCCCTGCCATGCTTGTAGCCAGCTTGGCGTTACGCTTGTTTTCCATGCAAGTAGTGAAACTTGAATGTGCTTTGGCTGGTTTGTTCCAAACAAGCGTCCTCTACCCCGAAACCACTACTTGGAAAAACAATGGTGGCTACAATGTATGTACCGTTTGTACGATGTGTATATAGGGGCTCGATACCCATTTCTCCCTCGGGTCGCGGTTTGGGGCTAGTGGAACCCGTGTACATTGTGTGATTGCATGTTTCTGGTTTACACGCAACTTCTGTTGTGATTGGTAGCGAGCAACACAGCACCTCTTCACATCATGAATCGACTTCTAACTCCGTCAAACGTCAGGCCCGGGAGCAAGCAAGCCACAAGTTCCGCAAATGTCACCATTGATGCCGTGTGTTTGCAAATCGTGCATGTAAAATGTGTGTTTGTGCCAGTCACCGCCCTATATACATGAAACCATCAGTCTGGAGTGAAATGGCCCTGTCAAAGCTTCACTGTACCTCACCCGCCCCTTTGAAATGGTTAGTCGCATTTGTATATCAACAGTCAATACCATTTTTGTCCATTTGCGAGTGCAACTGTCACTTTAGCGTGTATTCCCTTGGGCCAACACTATTTTGACACCTTGCCAACCTGTGTGTTGCCCGCTGAACACCAGTCAGGGCCCGGGGAAGTGCACTCCACGCGGGCAAAACCCAAATCGTTGGGCCAATTTGGAGAGGAGTTCTACTCTTCTGTGCTTCAGTGACTAGAATAGACTACAGAAAAAAGGCTACCCTAGTTCTTGCCTCTCTACTGGAGGACCTAGGTGACTTCAGTGGGGCCCTTTCTGAGTGAGTGTGGACTCATTGAAATTTAAGTCCACTTTATGTGGAAAGGGCATTGAGGTTGTTCAAGGCAGTCATGAAAATGGGAATCCCACTTTGGTATGAAAGAAGTTGACAATTTCCACCCCGCCTATTAGGTAGAAGCCACCAAACTCCCCGGCAAAATCGCTAGCCCGGTGTCGTGTCCTTTCAAAGTAACCTGGAATCCAGGAGGCATCCCTCAAGGTGGATGCCTACCCAACATTGCCAAACCAACCACAAACCATGGTTGAATTTAGGATTGTTTGTTCGTATTTACGGGGGAATCGAATTATTCCAGGGTGTTCCTTGTTCCGTGGCAATACTGCGCATGGACGAAATCCTGTACCAGTTTGAAACCATGGGAAACCATTGTTTGTTGGTATTTACAGGAGAGTTAGCATCCCAGGGCTTCGTAGGTAGGTTGGCATCCGTTCCGCCACGTCCTTTGGGGTTTCATTTTCTTCGCGCCAGGCCCATGGCGGCCCTGCAGGGCCAATGGCGTGCCTCTGGAGGCTTTGTGGATGTGCGGCTCATGCAGCTCTTCACTCGCGAGTTCCAGGCGCTGAAATCGTGGGAGTGGATGTGGATGAATGAGGGGTTGGTGGTTGAATTGGCGTTGGGGCTCTTCGGGTTCTTCGGGTTGCTGCAGGTTGCGAGTTGTTGCGGGTGGGTTTGATCAGAGCAGCGGCCCATTTGGATCTGGTTTAGAGAATGTCAGCTGATTTTCCTTTGGTTAGATTGGGTTTGAGGCTGGGCCCCGTGCTCCAGCACATTGGCCTTACATGAAATGGACGTGTCTTGTTTTGACGGCGTTCCTTCTTCTACAGGGAAGCCAAAGGTGGATGTCACCTTCAGGCGAGCTTGCCACCAAATCAGCTTACAACCACATGCGATGCACTGTCCCTCGGTGTGATGTGTATCAAGGAAGGCTGATGGCAGTTTGCTTGCTTAAATAGCTTTCCACCGGAAATGCACTGGTTGACTTGCTATGCCCTTTACCCATGAGCTTTGGGCACATCGCCTAGCCTTGCTTGTGCTTGCCACAATGTCTCACAGAAGACAGTGCGCGTTTTCGCTCGCTTGAAGCCCGATCGTGTTCTGCCAAAGTCAGGACAGTTGGGTGAGCATGTTTGTTTGGACCACCACACTGGAAGGTTTGGACGGTGTTCCAATCCCGGAAGTGCACAGAAGGCTTTTGGAAGACCACCATCACCTACAGGAGTCCTGTCCAAAAGAGGTAATTGCTTTGTGTGTGAGTGTGTGTGGCCCGGATGTGAACAGCGTAACAAAACCCACAGCCACACCTACGTGTCCAAAGTTGTCTCCACGCTTCTTAGAATGTCAGCTGACATGCGCAAGCCATCCACGTGGCTTGCAGTAGTTCCAACCGACATCAGATACCCAAAGCCAGAATTTGTGTTTCTCGTTGTTTGGTGTTCAACGACGTGCTCTTCCAAAGCTTACGTAAGGTTTAAGCTCCAGATATGTTGGAACAGGGTATGACGCCCAGACACCGCCGTTGCAACTTGGGCAATTCGCCGGTCCTGGGTCTCCACATGTGTCAAAGCCAGAGACCTGTTCATGTTGCATGTTTGTTAGCTTTGACAGAGACATCTCACTAGATATCTTGAAGTTGAGTCCACCGTACAAGGCGCACGGTGCGACATGCGCTGTGAGATCTCGAGCGTACACCCGTGGTTGGATGTTGGTGGTTGTTTCCTCACTTTGTGGTAGGTGCCTGCCCCCGTCAAGTAAAGTATTGTTCGAAAGTCCTTCGAGTGGTGTCACTGCAGCTGTGTTCAGGATACGCGTGTGTGTGTGTGTGTGTGTGTGTGTGTGTGTGTGTGTGTGTGTGTGTGTGTGTGTGTGTGTGTGTGTGTGTGTGTGTGTGTGTGTGTGTGTGTGTGTGTGTGTGTGTGTGTGTGTGTGTGTGTGTGTGCTTGCATGCATGTATAGGTACACATGTATGCACAATACAAATGTGCAACCTGCACACACCATGACTGGGGAGTTTTATGCATTTGCTGCGACATCAGGGTAGCCGAACACATATTGGCAGCATAGATCATTTTGCTTTGCCACCAATGCCTTAATCGCTGTGATGCACAGTAGCTGCATATCGTCAACAGTCACCAAAAACAAAGCCCAGCCAGAGGGTGTTCGCCGTCTTTGGACCATTCTTCTTTCAAAGGGGACCGTTTGTCAAGTTCCACTGGCGGTTGTCCTCTTTGGCTTGGCCTCATCCGCCAGGTCTTGCCCGCCCGCACACACCCCTTCATGGTGCCTGGGCGGATGATATCGGCGCATGCCAGATTTGATTCGACAAGGGTCCGCGTGTTCCTTCACCTTACGGGCAAATGGGTTCCGAATCCCTTTTCACGGACGTCGCTGGCTCACGTCCGCGGGGATGTAAGGTTTTGAAACATGATTTCAAGCTGCTCCTGGGCATGTGCTTGATGTGCCTGGGGGAAACACTTAATTCTTGGTTGCCGCTTGGTTGGAACTTATTTTGTTCAGCTTTTGGAACCGACCGGTTTCCGAATCTTCCATTGACAACGTTTCAGGTTCGCGAGTCAAGTCAAAGAATGAAAGACTTAAAGACCACCTCAGAAGGTGAAGCAACCATCAGCCGATGTGTCTAGGAGTCAACCTCAGAAGCTCGGCCCACTGGGGTGGCCCGGTGGTGATCAAAGAATCAGATCAGTGTTTCCGAGAATCGCGATGGCTCAGTGTCTTCACATTCACACCATGGCTCGAATGGACTTTCAAGAAACCAAACCTACCTGAGAAGCAAACAAAAAGACAGGGCCCCCGCATGCTCGTCTCACCCAGCCCTGCACGCTGAAATGTTTGAGCTCCTGACAATTGAGGCTCCGTTTTGATTTCTGTGAGTTGTGCACAACTCCGCCGGTCGGGCACTATGCTCGTGACATCAACAAAGTTTCCTCATTTTGGAAGGCCATGATTGAAATAGGGGGTTGGCCCAACCCTGCGATCCACACGGCAATCTGCAAATGTCGAATTTTCCGAAAAATAAGACCTTTGCTTTGCTGGCACGAGCTGATGGAACGAATCAACACGGCCTGGTTCAAATTGTTAGTGAGTTAGTGACTCATATGTTTGCAGTTTGTTTTCTGATTTGAACCCCAAACATATGGAAGCCCTTGACATGCTCTCCCGACAGGAAACTGTGAGGTTGGTGAAACGCTGGGAGTCACGGTCGCCCTTTTGCGAAAGGCTATGTTGAGAAAAAAGGTGAGCAAGGAAACATTTTAGCAAACTCCCACAAGCTCTTGAAAACACAAGACCCCACCCCTCAACCTTTCAAGTAGAGGGAGCCCCCCCTTTTTGAGTCTCGTTCGCATTTTTGAGGGGTCCCTAAATCCTCTGGAGTAATTTTCCCGGACGCGTTGTTCGCCACTAGGTGTCGGAGTCTCAGCTCTGCGAGGGCTTCATCCTGTGCGCCAGCAAGGCGGAAACTTTGGGCGGTGGCTGCCGCATTTTAAGGAGAGGGGTCTCAAGAAAGGGTCACTAGGTCCCGCAGTACTGCCCTTTTACCTTTTTTTTGGGGGAGGGTTCCCCAAGCTGAAATAGACTACCGGAAAAGAATCGGTTACCCTTATTCTAACCTCTCTACTGGAGGACCTAGGTCACTATTTCCCAAACCCGCCTCCGCAAAGCCATGCTTTCCACCCCGCAAAGGCGAACGCCTGATGATCCTGGCGGTGCCCCGCTTCTGGTTGGTGTTTGAAGGGAAGCCATCATGGAACCCATCAAGTTGGTTCCCAAAAGGACATTACACTCAACATAACGATTTGTATGGTGTGGTGGGGAGGGAGGGGAGGGGAAGGGCGCCTTTGGGCTACCCACCCCCTCCCCTCCCTCCCCGCCAGGCCCCATGATTTGTTTGCGGGCGGGGGGAGGGGGGGTATCAGAATCCGGCAACTCTTGGGTAGTGGAGCTGCTTCAATGGCTCCATGCATATATAAAGAATATATGTGTTTAACATGTATATTTGCATGATTGTCCAGACATATCATTCATTCATACATACATACCTGTATATATATATAGGTGGACGATGCAGCATAATGCCAACATAAGCCGTAGAGTGCTCCGCTCGCACCATTTGGGCGATGCATCCCTGACGCGACTGCGATGGTTTGTGAAGGCGCCCTGCGAGCGATCAAGCAGATGATTTCATGCAGAGTTTTCCTGGGTCCACGGGTTTTCCAATGTCAGAGGTCCACAACCATGGCGGTTTCTCAATGAGCGTCGTCTGCTCTTCGGGCGTAGTGTCCACCTCATACTTAGACCCCCCCCCCCAAGGTCATAGGGTAGGCCTGTAGCTAGAAGCTTCCGGCGGATCCCAGGAGATTCCTCGCACAACTATTGGTCAGCACCTTCTTTCAGTGCTTGTCTTTTGATTTTCCAGATTTCCCTGGCCGAGCCGGATGGTGAAATTACGGGGTTTCTAAATTCGCTCTGGGGTTTGGATTGTGCAAAACGGTTTCTAACTATGGCTGTGGGTCAAAAATAGTTACCCAAAATAGATCCCTGTTAAATGGGTACGGGGACTAACAACGCCTGCGGTCCCCTGGTGGTTTAGTTTCGCCCCCATACCCATATGAGGTCAACATTAGGCGCCGGATCTCCAATTGGAAAGCAACAGTTGCCTCGAAGGTCCCGGACCCTGAGAGTGGTGTCCTCGGTTTGGGGTGGCCCTCTCCCAAACAGGCAGTGCCAAATTCGGGTGGTCCTTTGCTCCTAGCCACAGTCTATCTTGTCTTGTAAGGTACCCCTTTTTGGTGGTTTAAAGTTCGACAGGAAACCAACAGGAAGGCAACCAGGTTCCCGTATTTTAAGACACACTTATGTTTAAATGTCAGGGGCCCGAGAACCCAAGACGTAGTTGACTTGTGTCGCAGCTCCTTGAGGTGGACAACACTGCGGCTGGGACGGACTGAGGGTGCGGGAGTTGGGAGGTCTGAGTATGCATCCGGAATGAGTCTGCGGGGAAGTTACCCTCCTGTCCCATTAGTTAATGAAATCTGACTGCGGGATCCTGGAGGACGATTTTCCTTCAACAAGGGCCCTGTTGTGGGTTCCATGTTAGTGGACAGGAGGGTACCAAATGTGACATTATCCAAAGTTGACTCAAGAAATCAAGATATCAGTCAATTGGATGTGTGGGCAGATGGCCGGAATGCGAAACGGCAAGTTGTTTGGAGCACAAGGTCTGGGAATGCACTAGGGAAATGATCTCAAAAATGCCCCATGTGAGTACAGCTTTCTTGATCAGCTTGTGCCCAGTTTGCCGAAGATGCAAACACGAGTTTCCGTGTGTCCCATGCCCCCTTTTCAGAATTGCCTCCCTTACGAATTGCCAGTCGACATTAATTTAATCAATCCTCGAGCAAAACATGATAATTAGGTTGTGTTCGCTGGGCAAGAGACGCTCGTTAGTTCTTTGTGTGTTGCAGCACAATAAGAGTGTTGGTTTCATGTGTTGCATTTGTGTGTCTCTTCAGCATCACCCAAGAAAGGATGGCATGCATCTTCGGGAAACACTGGATCTTCAGGACGAGGAAGTGGAGTAACAACAGATCTTCAGGACGTGACTAATGCTGCTTTGTGCCAATTGGCACAAGCGGTGGAAGCCGCAGATTCTCACCACAGCCTTGCCATTTTCTCTTTGCCCGTCATCTTTACAAGTGGCCCACATGAGCATGAAAAAAGCTCGAGCTTCGAGCTTACACGCTTGAGGCACCCCAAAGGCTTGACTTGGCGTGACTGGACTCACCACATTGCTTGCTTCTTCAATCAAAAGAACAGAAACGAGGGGGAGGGGCAGAGAAAGAAGAGCATATCATACTCGAACGAGAAATTGCTTGCTTCTGATTAGTGGCGGAACTGCAAGGCAAATGCAATTGCTACTCTGGACAACTCATGCTTGTTCATTTGCGGGAGCCATCCATCTCTTTCCGAGAAGCAACAGCGTTGTCCGCATTTGTTCACGTTACCCTTAGTTGGTGGTTTGGATTTGTGGTTTGGGGATTTGAACCCCCTTTGTAGAAACCACGCCCTAACCCTAAACCCCAATCCAAACCACTTCGAGGGAAGCTGAATTGTTGGATTCTATCTCATGCCGGCATGCTCTCCCCACAGCACATGGAACCCTTGAAAGGAGTAATAATGTATCGGGTCGCGAATTTTGAGCACTCCCTTGGGTTCCATTAACTGGGAGACCCTTTGCCAAGTTGGGCCTCGGAAAGGAAGCACACGTGGCACTTTCTGTTGTTTAACACTCGCTGGCTGTGTTCCAATCACTGTGTGTCCTTGTTAGACCAACGAATAATTAGCTTACTCGTAACCACTTGGGCGGGACCCACCCAGATCTGCCACGAATACCTAGTTGGTGGCTTACGTTTTCTCTATCCTCTGAGGAAGCAAAGGCAAGAGAACGCAATCAGACCTCGAAGTTATGCGGTGCTCCCCTGCTCAGGTCAGCATGTGCCCCGAAACACTATCATTCGAACAACTCTGTAAAACTTGCATCATCAATTTGTGCTTGGCTGCATGGCTACCTTGGTCAACATCACTGCAAAAACCCTTGGTGGCTTCCCTTCCGCACGGCTCCGGTCCCATTTTCACCTGGCTACGAATCTTAAGGAGGAACCCTCACCCAAATGGTTGGTGGACGTCCACTCTTCCCTCATGACACTTCACAGCCTGGGCATTTTTCTTTCGCCCAGGGGCCCGAGGAACCGCCGGGCACTTGGTGCCGTCCGATTTCTGGCTCCGGTGGTTGGCACCCAATTTGGAACCGGGGCTAAACAGAGCCGTGAAGCTTGGACTCGATTTCCGGTGTGTAGTAGCTTTTGTATGATTTAGTGAGTTCTAGTAGTTGGCGAGCTCTGCATTGCAGTGCGTTCGACTACGTTTTTAGTTTGGACGACCAGTCCCGCTCTTTGCCCCGCTGACACCCCATTCTTCCTCCCTAGTTGTATTTTCAGGCCACTTATGTAAGAAGCTGATACTGTATGCACATGGTCAAAGCGGGCGAACAAGGTACTCACAGAAACGCTTGCTATCAATACACTCCTGGTCAATCATGGAAGACCATGGTCAGGTGGGCCACATTCGGTTCAGGATCTCCTTAGTGACAGAAAGAGTCATGTGCCACGTCGGTACCACAGAAATTGGGAAACTTTCCACAGAAACGGGGAAACATCCGCAAAGTCAAGGCCCGCGAAGCGAGTCTGCAGCTGACCCACGCGATGCGAAGCCGAGTCGCATGCAGAAAAGGTCAGCGGGGCGGGAGGTTTGTGGGGTTGATGGAAGATCGGAGTTTCGGGACTTGATTGGCAGGTCAAAAACAAATGAGACTTGAATGATACTTGCACGATCTGGGTTGGCTGGGGACGATGGCTGGGATGAAGGAAGGGCCCTTTAGGCGTTTTCCCATTTTCTGGTTTTCTCGCAGGACAAAGGGACTGCGGCGCTGGTTACCTCGCTTCCCAGTGGAGTCTTGGTGTGGGTGGACTGTTGGTTACAATTGACCGGCAGTAAGGGTGCAGACATCCGCCGTTTGCATTTGCTCAGTGCGCAGGTCGGCGAGAGATCAATGAGATATCTAGTGTCTGGCTAGAATGACAGCGATGTGCAACCTGCAGACTCGCACCAAGCCAACGCAGTGCCTTCGTTGAATTGGTTAAAGAATAGATGGGGCGACCCGAGAGAAACCAGTAGAGGAGCACACCCACGAATAGCGTGTCTATGGTTGGCGAGCGGACAAACTTGTCAGATATTGCTTTCACAACAAAGCAACAGCAAGCCCACATGCTGGTTCAGCCACTTCGGCTACGCGACCATGACAGTCAGGGTAGCATGCATCTAAGCTGCAGGACATAAACAACTCAGAACCGGCGTTCATCGCTTTGATTCAACATGAGCTGCCGGTGACCGCGTCTGCTGCCCAGATTTTTGGACTTGACGCTTTCGTAGTGCTAATGAGCCGACCGATTAGTTTTGCGACTGGGAATTGGAAACAAAGCTTCTGCATCATATGTCTGCTGGTTATAGATAAAGCTGTTTTTCTGTTGTAGGATACGTCTTGTCATAGACCCTGAATGCAATAGCCGTTGGCTGCCGTTTCTTTCTTTCCAGCCGAGCGGCTGAAAGGCAGCCGAGCAGTCAGAGTTGGGAAGTTAAACAATCCGGGAGGAACTGGGCCAACTTGGCTTGTTGTGTGATTTCCCCTGAAATGCAAGTTGTTGTCGTTCAAGCAACAGCCTGGGCAAATTGTAGAATTTCAGACTTCATGATCAAGGTTCGTTGTGGGGACCCCTCAATCATATAGTTTGCCTTGGTGAAAAAACATAATTCCCAGAATAGTAGCTGAAACATATACAGGGAGTTGGCCCAATTGGGACAGATCTCCAATGAGTCGGCAGACGGCACCCGTTTAAAAGCAACTCAGCGCCTCCCCAGAGGATTTGCCAAGGGCCCTCCCCTTTCGGTTTGCTGCAAAGACTTCCTGCGACCCAAACGTATCCACATCAGTGGCACATCTACACACTCAGTGGCACACCCTGGCCTGGTTCTTATCTCAAACAGCCCCTAGGGCCTGGAGAAGGCTTTGGCGATGGTTTCATGTCGGGTAACCTTTAGAACTTTAGATGTCCGCGACCTCCGCGAAAGTGGCGTTCTTGTGAGTTTACGTTGTGGTTTGTGCATGAGCACACCCCGCGCCGCCGACATGGAACCCCAGGAGCCCATGCTCTTCTGGCCCCCTTTCGTGAGCTCCATGTTGGGAGTTCTCCCTTGGACAATAAGATGAATAACAACGGTGATAGATTCCCTTCAAAGCCAACAGGACAACTATATAATATTAATAATCAAATAGAAACTCAAATGCAGCGAATCCCTTGTTCCATGCAACACCGGCATCCACAATTCTCCACCTTAGCGGAGTGGCCATGTGTGCCCCACGGGTCACTATCAAAACATGGCATAAGGATCTATCCAATCAATGTAAAGACCAGTGAAGCTGAACAATTGGCTGGAGTTGTCCCCTACCTACCCAGGCTTTGAACGTGGCACACATCGCAGCTGGACTTTGTTTTGGATGGCGAAAGGGGCTGTGATCAAACTTTCTTAGCCAAGGAAGAATCATGGGATCGCCATGGAACAACAAAAGGCGTGCGCGTTGAAGACTAATGATGCAGAATACCAAAAAATATAGAACCACGGGTGGTCCCGTTGACTTCTGGCACCTGTGTGTTCACATGCGTGCGCAAGGCGCCGCAGCTCTGCAGCTCTTTTGCTCGCGCTGCCACAACGTGTTGATGTGTGTCCTTCTCCGAGAATGCTTCAGTGTTACAAATGGCAGTGGGTCAAAAAAAAATGGTAGCCAAAATGGAGCCCTGGCAAATGGAACCAACGACTAAAACCTGCAGTCCCCTGGTGGTTTAATTTTGACCCATACCCAAATCTTAGGGTCGTAGCTGCAAGAGTCTTTCTGCAAACCTCAGCGCAGGTTTCTCTGCACGAGTTCTGTGTCTCTGCGCAGGGTCTCTCAGCAAGCTCTTTGCGCAAGATCTCCATTCCAACCGTTTAAACCAGTCTGCCCAAGTTCTCTATGCAAGTTGTTCTGTTCAAGTTATCTGCACAGATGTATCTGCTCAGGTTTGTCTACGCAAGGTCTTGATAAAAGTTATCCACAAGTTGCTGTGCAAATGTCTCTTCCCCAATTTGTTCCCTCAAATTCTCGATGCAAGTTTCTCTGGCTCCGCGCATCCTTGTCTGCACACATGCTCTGTGCAAGCTTGTCTGTGCAGCTATCTTTCTGCAAGTCTGCTCTGCTCGAGTTGTTGTGTGCGTCCTTCCCTGCAGGCAACTCGGCGCCAGCATCCTATTGCACATCGACAACGCCCATCAACACAGAGGGTCGTGCGGGCGAATCAAGAAGTGGCAAAAAGTAGCAACCAACTCAAGTGTTTGAACCGTGCAATTTGCAGAGTGTGTTCTCTCATGCAATTTGCATGGCGCGTTAAAGTTGCTGCACGTGTTGTTCTCTCAATTCGCTGCGCAAGTTCTCTCGTGCAATTTGCTGCGCATGCTCTCTCGTGCAACTTGCTCTGCACGTTCTCTCGTGCTTCTTGCCCTGCATGTCTGCTGTCGTGTATCTTGATGCGCGGCTTGCGTCTAGCGCGATTCTTACCGGAACCCTTCGCAATGTTTTTGGGAACCAACTGTCTATGCGCCACGGTCAAAACTCTTTCCGTAGGATTGTCCAATTCCCCATCCAAAGGCAGATGCATACCAACCCCCCAGCCAAAGGCTATTTTTGTCATGGCCCGCGCTGTCCTTGAGACTTGGAATACGGGGGTTCAACTGTGGGAGCTTCGAAGTTCCTTTCTACTTGTGGTGCAGACTTCTCCCACATGTCGAGGGTGTTTCCCCAAAAGCGAAAGATTCCCATACGCAGCCCGAAGGGCATGCGACCCCTGAGGGCATTTGTTTTCCTGTGGAACTGAGTCAGCCCAGTCAAAGCGCCTCCCAGTCGCGCTTTCTGAGCGGCCTGGGCCGGGGTGAACTACTTGTCCCGTTACCAAAGTCACCCCTGAGGTGTCAGGAGAATGGGAGACATCCCAAGTTTCTGTCTTTGACCCAGACAGCGTCTCAAACAGAAGGATCCCAGAATCAGCAAATGGAAGTAAACATCTTATTACAGCAAACTGTTACAAGAACACGCGGGGTCTGTGCCCAAGATTTGGAGCTCAGAGTGTGGGTTTATTCAATTGTGGTTGGATGTGGTTGGTATGCTTCCTTTACACTATTGTGATTGAACATCGTATATGGCCATGGGTCAAAACCCCGTACCCCCAGTGAACACCCCAATCCCCACTAAAATAGAGTAAAATGGGTGGTGCACCTACCCCAAAACGCTACCATTGGTGTTGACAACCACAGCCATATGTGTCTTTCGAAAAGGAGGGGTCTGTGACTTCGGATTTGTTTCCTTTTGGTTTCGCCTAGCAAAAGGTCCAGTTGGAGCTCCTTGTGCAGGCCATGGATGACTCTCTGGACGGATTCACGAGCCCTACAGGTGGGAGACGGTTAAGAAACGGCAGAACACGGTTCCGTTGGCTTTGCGGCGAAGTTCTTTTATAAAAAATGTATCACAAAATTGGTTCTTGCCCCATGTCCGGTGCTCTTTTAAGCCCTAACAGCACGTGGATCCTCAGAAGGTACATCCATGTTGGGGAATACTGCCGCGCTGGATTTACAGCCAGAACTCTGTTTAATTCAGGGAGCTGTTTCCGGGCTTACCAGGCCAGCCTCATGAGCAGCTTGCCCTGTGGCAGATTGAAGGCTGATCAGGGCGTTTGAGCCTTTTTTTGTGTGCAGCTTGGTGTTCATCGGTTTTTGGGAGGAAGATGTTGACCATGTCGCAGCCTCTTTATTGTGTGGCCTGCTTTGTGGCCTCACACAGTCAATTGCTCGAGTGTGTCCTGTTATCTTGACTGCCATTGGGTTGGATCTTTAAACTTTTCCTTTTTGGGAAATCAAGGGGATTCCACTAAACCTCAATGTTCAATATTCAATGTTGCGCAGACACAGCCCTCCCGCAGGATGGGCCATAAACAATCACACGTGGGTACCTTTGCTCACAGAGCCTTCGGCCTCCACGAAGTTAAACTTTTTTGCAGGGGGTCAACAGCAACCACGTTACGTTGTCCCTATTTGTCTTCATGAGTGTTGGGGACTTCTGCTCCTGAGACTTCTTTCATGTGGCTGTGGGTCAAAAATAGACCCCAAAATGGCACCCGGGTAAATGGAAACAATGACTAACACCTGTGGTACCACCAGCTGGTGGTTTAATTTTGACCCATACGGCCCATACCCATGTTTGGTATTTCGCTCCTGACTCCTGACACATCAGTTCATGGGAGGGAAGGCATCCCAGGGCCGTCCCCTTTTGGCAGTTCTGCCGTATTTTTGTTCAAATTGGTTTACATTTTCAGGATCACCAATCAGATATGGCCAGTGGCATAATCTTGAAACCAACATCAGTCATGATTTTCTAGCTGTCAGCACTCATTTACGTAGCCCAGTATTTTAGGTTGAGAGTTGTGCCTTTTGTACAGTCGCTCCATTCAAGTAGCCCTCCACACGATTGTGTGAGCAGGCGCGTCACGTCATGACTCGAAGCCGACGCAGAGAGAGAGAGAGAGACTTGTGCTTTCTGGATGATTTCTGTTCGAGTCGACCAGCTCTGCTCAGTCCGCTCT